ATGCAGAGGGCCAGCAGTCCCGACTGGGCACCGGTGTGTGCACCCTCCCTTCCCTGCTCTTCACTAGGCTGCGACCAGCAAATCTTCATCTTCATACTGGAGCATTGGTGGGGGCAGAGCAGTCAGGTGTACTGAGAATGTCAGTAATGTGTGTGGCTCTTTCTGGGCTCCCAGGTGGAGCATAATGGGTTGTCCTGGGGCCAGGTGCAATATTTGCATCACGAAAGCAGGCAGTAGACTGCTGAGCCCCGCAAGAGGAGTCCAGCATAGGGAGCAGTGAGGGCGTGCAGAGGACCCAGCCAGGCTGCGGGATCAGGAGGGTACACAGTCCTCAGAGTGCTGTTTCATCAGGCATGGTGACCCCAGGCCAGCCTTCAGCCTTGGAGGGTGCTCTTGGAAAATGCTCAGGGAAGGACTTCCTGGCTACATTGATGTAAGATTCAGTGATGAAGGAAGAGGAGAGGGTCGTTCAGGATTACCAAATCCCAATGAACTGCAGATGTTGACATTGGTTCTCATACCCAGTGTAGTGGATTTCTAACCAGTAGTCGACTTGCTACACCCAGCTGAATTGAACTAGCATGGTTATGGGTGTGGGAGGCCCACCTGAGGATTGTTGCCAGCGGCATAAGAGGCAGAACTGAGAAGCTGTTGGAGATGCTGTTAGGGATGCTGTTTGGAGAAGCTGTTGGAGCTGTTGGAAGTGGCTGATTCTCCTGGGCTGTTCTGCTGGAGGACCTTGTCATGCTGGCTTTCCTGATGAACTTGGCTTCTCTTGTTGAAGGGGCAGCTTGGGACCTTGTCACTGAGAATGACTGGCTCATCTTCGGGGAGCTCTGGTTCTCATCTTGAGCATTGCTTCCTGTCTCTGATGGAGAAGATGGTGCACTGCTCATCCTCAAGGAGAGGCTTGTCACATTGGCTTTCCTGATGGGAGCTTAGCTTTCCTCATTGCTGGAGGAGTTTGGGATCTCACTGTTTCCAGGACTGCTGTGGTACCTTTGGGGATGCTCTGGTGCTTACCTTAAGCATCGCTTCCTGACTCCAGCACAGACCCCTCAGCCTGCTGGCACAGATCCTTCATCCTGCTGGCTTTCTAGCTTCCACTGCTGACCTGTGGGCCTTTCTAGCACATATCAGTCAAGTGGGTCTGCATGGGACTTGTTGTGGGCTGTAGGACTCCAGGTGGATTTGTGGGAGGCATTGCTATGAACTCCAGGATTTCAGCTGGACTCATGCAGGGTATTAGGATCCAGGCTCTCAGCTGGATTCTTTGGTCTTTAGTGTGTGGGCAGATTTCCTACAATTCCATATGATTCTTTGGGTGATTCATTATAAAATAATTTTATAAAAATGTGTCCTGTATTATATTGTTCCTCTTGGAAAAACCCTAAACCATGACACCTGGCTTCAAACTCTGCCTAACCCTGTGCCACAGTATTACCAACTATGCAGGATTTGGGTTTGCTTTCTCTCTGGACCATTATTTTTCTGGTAGCAAAGAACATGCTCTGTTCATACTTAGTACAACCTAGGCTTTTTTTGGTTCCAGGGATCAAACTCAGGACCTTGCACTTGCTAGGCAGGAGTTTATGCTGCTGAGCTATCTCTTCAGCCTGTAAAACATAGTTTATGATACACTTTTAAAAAATTGTATTTTGCATAGGGTCTCACAATGCAGCTCGGGCTCATAGTGATCCTCCTGCTTTCAGCCTCTCCAGTGCTGGAATCACAGGTGTGCCCTACCACCCCCAGACTCGATTACTGGTTCAGTGTGCCCGGGGGTGGGGACGGTGTGGCATGTGGTACTGGGGATTGAGCCCCAGTCCCTGCATTTGCTATGACATACTTTCAAGGATAGAAGGTTGGATAGAAGGGAAGATGAAAGAATAAAAGGAACAGGAGCAAAATTGACTCAACACACACATAAATCACCTTTGTGTTAAGCAGTATGCTTTTTCCCACCCCCCAGGACACTGTTGCTCAATGGTCACTCACCCTCACAGGGCCACCCATTTCTGTCCCAGCCTCCGCAGGGCATCCTTCACGTCTTTGTTCCGCAGACTGTAGATGAGGGGGTTGAGCATCGGGATGACTTGGGTGTAGAAGATGGAGACCACCTTGCCCTGCTCCCTGGACTTCATGGCTCCTGGCTGTCCATACACAACAAAACCTGTTCCATAAAACAAGCACACTGCCATCAAGTGGGAGCCACAGGTGGCGAAGACCTTGTGTCTCCCAGAGCCAGAGGGCATCCTGAGGATGGTCACTGTGATGTAGCCATAGGAAGTCAGGATCCCAAGCATTGCACCCAGAAGGATGAAGCCACAGATGCTGAACATGACCAGCTCATTCAGAGCTGTGTCTGCACAGGCAAGCCTGAGCAAGGGGAGCACATCGCAGAAGAAGTGGTCGATGCGGTTGGAGCTGCAGAAAGGAAGTTTAAAGGTGAGGCTGGTCTCCATGATGGAGTTTAGGCAGCCTCCACAGTAGGAGTCCAGCACCAGGAGAGTGCAGAGTGTGTGGCACATGGTCACAGGGTAACGCAGGGGGTTACAGATGGCCATGAAGCGGTCATAGGCCATCACAGCTAGAAGTAAGGCCTCCGTGGTGCCTAGAAGGGAGAAGAAAAACAATTGGGTTGCACAGGCTCCAAAGCTGATGACTTTAGAGGAAGAGAAGAAGTTAGCCAGGGCTTTGGGGGCAAAAACAGATGAGTAGCAGACGTCCAGGAAGGACAGGTTCTTGAGGAAGAAGTACATGGGGGAGTGCAGCCGGGCATCCAGGGTGATGACTGTGATCATGGTGAGGTTGCCCAGGATGGTCACAGTGTATAGGATCAGGAAGACAGCAAAGAGCAGAGCCTGGGTCTCCACACCTCCCTGAAATCCTTCCAGCACAAACTCCCGCAAGGGCACCATGGAGATGTTCTCATATCTGTGAGTTGTCATGGCCCTGAGCTGATACAGCGGGGCAGAAAGGACAGTAGAGGCTGTGAGAGAGGGCTGGTCACAGTCACGCGGCTATGCCTGAGAGAGTGTGTGGGTTCATTCACGCATGCTGACTGAGGGCTGCCTGCTGCCTGGTTCTCCTTCCACCGAGCTCTCCACTGCTTGAGTGGGCGCACTGTCCGTGGCTCATTTAATTCCTGGTGTACTGATCCCTGCTAGCATATGAACTGAACATGCTCTGGGGATGAAATAAGTGTTCAGAGCTGAGGACCCTCCATGCAGGAAAGCAGTGGGGCATCCCCGTGTTTGCCCCTTAGCAGCCGCCCTGCTCCCTGAGGGAGGCTTCTCAGCGCCACTGTGCACTGTTCCATGCTGCACTGTCCTGGCCTCCACTCCTTGCTGCCTGGTTTAGGACACAATGGGAGGATATCTGCCACCAGGCTGTGCTGGGTGCTGCCCACCTGCTGGCTGGACACAAAGCAGTGAGCAGTTCTGGGCTCAGGCAGGGCCTCTATCTGCCTCCTCTGGGGACCCTCAGCCACTTGGTGGGAAGTCTGACTCTGCCACCTGGCAGTGTGATGTGCAGCTGCCTGAGGCCAGCCTGCTTGAGGATATCGGGGCTTCCTGCCAGCATCCAGATGCTGGACCTCTGCTGGAGAGAGCACCCCTGAGTGTCCTGGTGGAAGACAGCAGACAGTGCACTGACACACCATGGCAATGCACTCACCCTGGCTGACCTCACTGCATCTCTGACCCCAGGTTGCCAAGTGGTTTGGGGATTTGAGCAGGAATTCTCTTTAAATTTGGAATCAAGTCTGGGATATTCTTGGTCCTTTTCTTGTTCTTGTCATGGCACAGCCAGAGTGGTGGTCATTGCATGGGTTCCATGTGTGCTCTGCTGGTCAGCAGCAGGCGTGATGTTGCTGTGCTGACCCTGGCTGGGAGGAGGAGGATCAGCTGCATGTCCCCTCCCGTCCAGGGCCCGGCCCCACCTGGGTAGGGCCCAGCCTCACGCTGGGGACTTGGCGCCCACGGGGCCTCTGTGTCCTCTGCAATACACTGAGCAGCTGACTTTCCCACTGTGAGCCCAGTGACTCAATGAAATGTTTCTGTGGGTGTTGCTTTGACAACTTGTCTCTGTCTCTGTCTCTGCCTCTGTCTGTCTTTCTGTCTCTCTTTCACACACACACACACACACACACACATGCATACACACACACATGCACACACACACACACACACACACACACACACACTGGAGGTCTTGGTACAAACTGTATAAGCCTCCTTTATGATGAACTGAAGACATGTGAAATAGTATCCCCACCCCAGTTTACTGACTGACACTGGGGGAGTGATAGGCAGGGACATCTCAAGCTGGAGCAGATGCAGTAACATTCACAGTACCAGCAGGCAAGCAACTATTCATGGGCTGAGGTGGAGGTGCTGCTACCCCAGAGTGGGTGGCCTCACTGAAATTGGCCCCTGTCCTCATTTGGGCCCTACTCTTCAGGTGAACCACATGGCCCCAAGCCAGCAGCAGCACCCTGGTCTGCAAGCTGGTTAGAATTTGGAGCTGCTGCCTACTCACAGGCAGAACTAGAAGCCTAGATGGCAGGGTGCACCAAGTGTCTATTTGTGCTAGGGATTCCTGTCAGGGAGCAGCTCCCTGGCACTGCTGCTGCTGAGCAGGAACTGAGGCCAGGCCCACCCCAGAGGAAAGGGCCCACCTCTCCGCTTGCTGGGAGCAGCCCTCCATGCTCACTGTGCACACAGCACCGCTGTCTCCTACACCCAGGGCCTGCTCCTGGTGCATCTGACCTGGGATGCATTCACCTTACCTTCTCTAGGTGAAAGTCAGGACTCCCTAAGACCACACAGCCCACCAGGGTTCACAGGGCGCCCTGTTCCAGACTTGCTTGTGCTATGGATACTGAAATGGATAGCTCAGACCTAGCTTCTGGAGCAGGAAGGGGTGGGGGCAGAAGTGGGTACCCGTGAGCTACTGAGCCTGGACCTCCCTGTCTTGGGTCCTGCTTCTTTGCAGAAGAGGAAGGGTGGGCTCTGCCTCTTGTCCTGTTTCTTCAGGCTGTCAGTGTATCAAGGCACCTACCTTGAGGTCGCATTGCTGGGAGGGCTCTCTGCACCATGTAGCACTGGGACTTGGGGCCTCCAGTGACCAATTAGGGAGGCTCTGGACCTCTGCACTGCTCTGGGGCTCCAATTACTTGGGCTCTAGGAGCTGCAGTGCCATGGCCAATCCTCATGTCATCATGTTGCCCTCCCATGGCAGGGCAGGAGGCCTGAGGTTCTCAGGGGCAGCCATGCACATACAGCACATACAGCTTGGAGAGGCCTTGTATCCAGTGTCCCTAGTTAGACTGGTCACCCTGGGGCGGGATGCAAGTGAGACAGCCTAGCCACCAGCTGTCCTCCCTTGTACTCTGTTCTAGATATGTGGCTGTGAGGAAGGTGGTGTGGGCAACAACTGAGCACACTTTTCCCAGAATCGGTTCTCTGCCAGCACAGACCTGACCCCAGCTAATCATCGCTCCTCAACCTAGTTACGGAGTTGGATAGGGTCACTCTAACTCACTCATGGAATTTTCTCACTTTTGGTTCAAGAATGTCCAATAGTCCTTGTCACTCTCTGTAAAAATAAAAGCAAATATGTATTTGAAATTTCAAGCAAATAGTGATTCAAATGAAAAGATAATGCTTTTCTCATACCCCAGCAACATCTCCCTCTCTGAGGATGAGCTGAAGGCCCATCAGCGTGTGCATGTCTGAGAACTTCTGGTGTCTCCCTGGAAATTCTGTGACACATTCATGTCATTTTTGTTTGGAGGTCTGTTGATACACTGTATTACATTTACTGATTTGCATATGCTGAACCCCTTCCTTAAATCTCTGGGATGAATCCCACTTGCTCTTGGTGTTTAATCTTCTTGATGACTTGCTGCATGCTTTTTGCTAGTATTTTATTGAGGACTTTTGCATCTATGATCATTATAAAGATTGGTCTGTGGTTCTCTTTTTTGATTGGATCCTTCTCTGTTTTTTTGTATCAGGGTAGTACTTGCTTCCAGGAATGAGTGGGAATATTGCTTACCCTTGTATTTCACTGAAGAGTTTGAGGAGCAATGACATTAGATTCTCTCTAAATTCCTCATAGAACTCAGCTGTGCATCCATCAGGGGCTGGGATTTTCTTGGTTGTTTTTTAAATTACACGTTCAATTTCCTTTACTAATACTGTATTATTTAGAATTTTTATATCTTCTTGATTTGGTAGTTCATATGTATCTAGGAATCTGTCCATTTCATCTGCATTTTACATTTTATTAGAATAAAGTTTCTCAAAGTAGGTATTGATGATCTAGATTTCTGCAAGATCTGTTGTGATTTCACCCTTTTATTCCAAATTATATGAATTTGATTCTTTTCCTTCCTTTTGTTGCTAAGGTTAGCTAAGAGTTTATCAATTTTATTTAATCTTTCCAAGAACCAACTCTTTGTACTGTTTTTTTAGTCTCAACTTTATTAATTTCTGCTCTTATGTTCATAATTTCTTCCCTCATGTGAGCTTTGTACTTGATTTATACTTTTTCTAGAAGTTTGAGGGTCAATATGAGATTGCTTATTTGGGCTCCTTTTTTTTGATGTGAGAGTTCATTGCCATTAATTTGCTTCATAAGAATGCTTTCATTGCATGCCATAAATTCTGGTGTATTTTTTAAGGTATCATTTAATTGTAGAAACTGTTTAATTTCTTCTTTAATTTCATCTGTGACTCATTTGTTGTGAAGTAGGGTATTTAATTTCTGTGTATTGATGGAGTTTTTGTGGTTTCTTTTGCTGTTGATTTCTAATTTCATTGTACTCTGGTCAGATAATATGTGTGGGATAATTTTAATTCTTTTGCATTTACTTAAACATGTTCTATGGGCTGGTATGTAGTCTATTTTGAAGGATGTCCCATGTGCAGCTGAGAAGAATGCTTATTCTGATGTTGTGGGTGAAACACTTTGTAGACATGTATTAAATCCATTTGTTCACAGGTTTTGTTCAGTTCTGATATTTGCTTACTCATTTGTTTGTTTAGTTTGTCTATCAGTTTTGAAGATGGGTGTTAAGGTCCCTCATTACAATTGTGTAAGTGCTTACTTGTGTTTTTTCACGTCTTTAATGTTTCTTTTAAATAGTTGGTTTCTCTCATATTTGGTGCATATATATTTATGATTGTAATATCTTCTTGGAATTCTCCCTCAACAAGAATGTAATGACCTTCTTTATCTCTTTTGATCTGTCTTGGCTTGAAGTTCACATTGCCTGAAAATAGATTAGCTATCCCTGATTTTTTCCAGATTTCTGTTTCATAGAAGATTGTTTTCCATCCTTTGACTTTTAGTCTATGAATTTCCTTTTGAATTAAATATATTTCTTGTATACTGCACATTGCTGGATCTTGTTTGTTTTTTTGTTCTTTTTAATTAATTTTATTGTGAAACAAATAGCAATGAGAGTTTCAAAATCGATTAGTAGGACAGTTTCAATAATTAATACTTTGCATATTGTTGTCCTCATAGTGGTTATTCATAGTACAAGATGCTCCTTAAAAAACTTGAACTGGAAATCCCATTCAAACCAGCTATCCCCCTACTGGGAATTTTCCCAGAGGAATGAAAAATGTCATATCATAGTGATATATGTGCACCTATGTTTATAGCAGCACAATTTGTGATAGCCAAATCTTGGAAACCACCAAGATGCCCATCACCTGAGGAATGCATGGATCTTGTTTTTTGATCTATTCTACCAGTCTCTTCTGATTGGTGAGTCAAAACCATTTACATTGATGGTTATAATAAGCATATATTCAATTATCCTTGTCATAGTATTATCTGTTGGTTCTTTGTCATTCCCCTCTGTTTAATTTCTTGCCCTCCCTGGTGGCTTCTTCCTATTGTTCATCATGGATTTGTGCACATTGTTATCTTA